TTGCAGGTTTCTATATTCAGTAGGTGAGACGCCGCCACATTTGATGTGACACCACTTGAAACATAAGTCACATTCAATTGCTCGATGAGTCTTGGCCACAGTCTTCATACAAACAGAACACGAGGTATTAGTACTGTTCCCTGAGAAGATAGGCCCTGGATTAGGGTTGATATCACCACTAGTAGCAAGTCTATTCAAATTAAAAGTAATTTGAGCATTGGGATAACGGCAAATTCGAGTAGAAAAGTACTTTCTTCCACGTGGTCTTGTCAAATAATCGTAACCAGCAAGAAAATAAGCCGTCCTTCCACTGATAAGCAAGCCATGGTTAATAATAAACGACACTCCGAACTTCTGGTGATCAGAAATTTGATCAGAAAGTTCAAAAGACAACGAAAATCCCAAGAGAAGTAATAAAATGGCGGAGCTCAAAAATACACGTCTTGCCGCCATGCTGACCGCTGACCCGAGCATGTTCTTTTACTTGAATGAAGACTGAAGGCCTTTTTACTTTCGTATTAGCTTAAAGTGTGTTAAAAAAGGAAGAAAACCATTGCTATGAGGGTAGCTCATTCTATGCAGATCTTTGGAATTTAATTTTTAATTTAAAGTTTTAGTCAATAAAACTATCTATCTATCAATCTTTATCTTCTACATAATCATTTCACAGCAGCTTTTAACTTATTCATCTCCGTTGATGTAAAGTCATTTTTACTCCCGCCTCCGTAGTTGGACCGTGTGCTGCAAGAGTTCAATTTAAACACTTTATCGCGTGTATTCAACATGAATAGGTCTAACAACTTAGCAGTTGCTTTAATTAACAATTATTCGTAAAAATACAAAGGTGATTCTTTTAAAAAAAGTAAAAAAAGAAGATAAAAGGCTTTTTTTTTCCGGTAACAGCAACAAAGCGGCTGGACGCCATTTTGGATTTTCGCTCGAGGTGATTATCGTTTTATAGTGTGAGTTTCTTGACCAATCAGCGCGCGAGATTTTCTATAATCACCTGCGTATTTTTACTCAATACATATATTGCAAACCCCTGTGGATCGATTTGCGTAACTACTTTGTAAGCAAAGGCTTCTGTTACAAGGAAAAGAAGATTGATATCAGTCATACACCGAATGGAAATATGGCGACCAATGTGAATACCTATGGTTCTGCACTGACTAGCGACTGACTAGCCTCTCATACATGTAAAAACGTTTTTATGTTTCCATGTGAACACGAAGCTAATCAGTGACTAGTCAGTGCAGAACCATAGGTATTCACATTGGTCGCCATATTTCCATTCGGTGTTGAAAAACAGCTTTTCCACGAATTAAAAAAAGACAGCTTCATTTAAATTCCATGATTTATCAAGTTTCTTTAAGGCATATAAACTGGAGGTGGTTCACTGGACGCACCTGTTGTCTTCCCTGATGGTTGCTGGTCACCTGAATTAGTAACATCTCCTTGGTCATATTGTGTAGTAGTCACAGCTGTTGCACCTTGTGGACGATTCTGCATCACATACCCTTGTCCACCCACGGACTGGTTTGGTGCCGGATAGACAGGTCCTCCAGTCATTGCTGGGACAGCCACAGGCATCCCATTAGGTCCCTGGGTCATGACATAAGCAGCAACAGGACCTTCTTGGGTTTGAAGGTAGACAATCTGTCCCTGATGCCGTGAAACAAAAACAAATAATTAGTACATCCATCTAGATCCCTGAAACAAGACAGCCATCAACAGGACCTACAATCTTGGACGAAATTAGTTTTTACAAAAAATCACAATTTCAAAAACATTACTAAATTTTGAACTTGGAACTTGTACTTTCCAAGTGTTCCCTTCCTCTATCTAATAGGGACTTTAAGATTTGCAAAATCTACGACGGCAACGTCACCAGGAGGTGTAAATAACTTCACCTTTGGGTTTTGCTTCTTCAAAGTCTGTCTTTCCTGATGAGTTGACTTTATTGACAACGTCAAAAGTTTTGAATGAAATCTCCAATAAATCCAAGAGAAATTATTTGCATCTCCGGTTGACGTCGCCTTCGTTGATCCGAGGGAGCACATTAAAACTTTGTTTGTGCAAAGAAAGTTAAGCTACGGACACACCGCGGTGCAACATTGCGCGCAATGTTGCATATAATTAATGTTGCGAGCCATGACACACGACGCAATTTGTTGTGCGCCACGTTGCTGAAGTAGAAAACTATCCTACTATGCCTGCAATGTTGCGCGCAATGTTGCACCGTGTTGCCGTACCGTTATTGCTCTTGGTTGATCTATCTAGCGCGCGCAATCCATCATGTGACAGGCGTTCCTCGTAGTGTTTTGGTTTCGGCCGATCCGAATGGCTTGCGATCGTGTAAGGAATGGAATAACGCTCCGCTCTTCGCAAAATATTCGTCGGTTTTCGGAGTAAATTCGCTAGCCCGAATAAATCAAGGAAAGCCTGCCATAAAGTGTAGCGAGCACGTAAACAAGCACTACAAGGAACGCCTGTCATATCTTAGATTACGTGCAATAGAATCGAAGATAAACCAACACAATCAAAATTTTAACGTGCTCCCTTGGTTGATCTTACAAATCTTAAAGTTCCTATTGTTACAAAACCACAATTTCAAAAACATGTGGTAATTTCGGACTTTAAACGTGTTCTTCCAAGTGTTTCCCTCTCTCGCTATCCCATGTTGCATCTTTAGAGGCTACGAGACCATTGTTTTTTTACAATAACAAAAAACGATAAAAACCTCATTTTTAGTGATCAAAACAACCAACGGAAAGAGCGTGCGCTCGTTGACGTCAGCTTTATCTGTCTGTTCTCTTATTGATGATAAAAAATTACCAATCAGCGCGCGAGAAATTTGAGTTATTGTAAAATCTGTCATAGATAAGCCAATCTAACAACAAGATTGTAGCTAGCTCGTCTTGGTAAAGGTCATTTCCAATTGATCACACAATATCTCTATATTTATCTCTTTGAGAGAGTGTGTCACTGGTAGTCAGTATTCTCATTCACTTATGCTGATGATTTTGTTATAGCAACAGCCGAGGAACAGCACACAGAAAGGCACTCAAATCAAACCTTGCTAAACCTAAAATAATGCTTTTTACGGCCATGTCCATCTCAGAGTCTGGGGTGAGGGGATTATGTGCAATGTTATAGTATAACTTACCATTTGTCGTGGAGTAGATGTGTCACAGCAACAGCCATCACAACCCATACAACAGCAGATGGAAGACCAGATACCAACGCCAAACTCAATAACAGCAAAGATGATGATCATGGCACCCAATCCAACACTTATCTGGCATTCGCTGTCAGTCACTCTTTCTATGTCACATCTGTATGGAGAGTAATCGCAATTCGTGTGCACATATCGTGTGCATGATGGTCTTGAGCGTGTTATATAACTAACACCCAAACCGTAGCAAATCAGCAGCACTCCAGCAAACACAGTGGCTACAATGGAAAACCCCAAGTAGGTGTTGATCTATGACACAAAAATAAATGATATCAAGTGATGTAATACTTCTTCGATTTGTGGCATAAATATTTTAAGGCAAAGGACCAGAAACAATATACCCAATAAGTGGCTTTTTGCAAGTGGTTTCCGCCTCAAGTAATCATACAAAATTTTAAAATATTTTTGTCCACGATAAAGAAATCAGCTGACGGCATTCACATTTCAAGTTAGGGACGGATTTGTCTGGCTGGACCCGATTAAGACACCCCTACAACCTCCCTGGATCTGCTCTTAGCCGCAGCAAAGATCGTGCATTGTGGTCCGCCTATTTGGTGCATGTGGTATTTTTTGTACCCAAGCTAAACCATACTGATTAGGTATCCTGGTTATCAAGCTAAGAAAAGGCCCATTGGCCATTCTAATTAAGAGTTTATTAAGTGTTAATTAAGAGTTAATATAAGTATCAAGAGTTTATAAGAGTAGCTGCTTCTACTTACCATAGCCATCTTGGGTCTCTGTGTGCTTGGATAGGGTTTACTTGCAAAATATCCAATAACGCCGGTGATTAGGAACTGGGGCAAACAAAAATAAGTGCAATTATATCTTGATTTACGATAATGTACATTGTGATAACCACATGCAGGCAGTGAATATGTCACGCTCTCTGGCTTATGTTTTTGCTTCAAAGCATTCATGGAATAAGATTGGCCATGCCGGTTTGAACCGTCACGATATATATTACATAAATACTGAAAAATGTCTATTTGAACTTGGCGGACCTTGAACCGGCCAAAGTCGCAACTATTTCAAATAACTAAGAGTCTTAAAGCTGAATCATCGGTGTGATATGTGTGGTGGTATACAACGTCAATCTTGTATCTTGCTTTTCCACATGGTCGAATTGTAGAGCTTTACCGTTGACTGCCCATCTGTGTGAATTCGGCTGAGCGGGAAGCAGTCATCATATACAATACCCACTCGAGTTTGAAACCCGACGTTTGAAAGACTATAAATTATGTATATATGTTAATAAGTGAATAGAATTTAGTAAATATCATGCTGAAAAACATGTCGATCGGGTAAAACTAATCGCTTCTAACTTATTTTCCATGCACGATTACTAGTTGTCGGTGCAATTATGGTTTCACTAGCATTTTTAAATATACTAAATTAAACAAGGAAACTTCCCTCTCTGATAAGATGTAAACCGATGAATTTGGTATATAAATCCTGCACTTTATAAAGAATATATTATAGTATGAAAAGTTACTAGGCAAGTTTGATATCAAGGAATAGGAAATGCTTCCGTGGTCGTACAAATTATAAAGAACCTAGAGTAGGTAGTCTTTCTCATTTTGCAATTGGATCTGACGACGAGCAAAATCCGTATGTTTTAACAAGAGATTAATCATTTGTTTCGTTCGAACACCAATATGTTGTATTTTTTTTCAAATAATTACAATTAATACTCTGGGAAAAAGTCATTTCCGAGTCTCCCCAACAAGAGGCGAATCATGTATAGAATACACTCCACACTCACTACCACTACACTTAATGTTTTAAGCACACAACTCATTCTCACTCTCAAGTTTGGCATAAGATATCATCAGTTGTCGCCAGCAACCCAAGCATGTTGACCTCAGTTACTAACATAACAATTATATCTCATAAAAATTAAAACAGAGTCGTGAAACGCGTGAAACTACAAACACCTTGCCCAGACACCCGTCCAAATCGCAATGAGTCCTTCCGTGTGGAAAGCATACGAACCATGGTATCTGCTGTAGATAAAAATTCGATCGAAGACGCCAAAAATGAAGCAAAGAGACCCCAGTACAATTTGACAAAAGGCGGATCGTTTCGTTCTCTTGAAGTTAAACCCTATCTCTCTACCAAAACCTCGAATCTGAGTTATGTTGTTAATATTTTCTTTCCTTTTTCCATTTGAACGGTTTTCATCATTGTTGTTTAGAACGACGTCATTAAAGTGAGTCGATAGTTTAATTTAAAATCATTGATTGGATAATTTCAAGACCAATTAAAAAGCTCGATAGAAAGCCAAGCTTTATATTGCCTTTTGTTTTCCACCGAGACCGCGATTCTTATAAAGGCTACAATTGTTCCGTTATAAGCTAAAAGTAGGTATCATTTGAACAGTTTTCTGTGTTGTTCTGAAGTTAGATGTGCTTGAAGTGAGTCAACAGTTTGAAATCACTGGTTGGATAATTTCAAAAAATTCGTTAGAAAGCCAGGCTTTATTTTGCCTTCGTTTCTACCGAAGCGTCGAAATGATGTAATTAATAATGAAAAAAAAGAACCTTTTCCATTTAAAACTAAGTCATTGTTTTTTTGACCAATCAAAAAGCTTGTTAAAAATCCAACCTTTATTAGGAATGAAATAGCCTAATGTTCTATTGCTTAAATGAAGACTGAGGGTCTTTTTACTTTCGTATTAGCTTAAAGTGGGGTAAAGAAAAAACACCACCTGATTATTGCTATCAGCGTAGTCATTCTATGCAGTGTTATTTTTTTCTTTTTTTTTTTTTTTTTTTTTTTTTTTTTTTTTTTTTTTCACACAATCATTTTTGATAAGATATAGTATTACAATATATTCACTGAAGCATTTACTTTACTTAGGGAGTTATCATTATTTATCGGGGGGGAGGGCCACCAAATTTGCATTGAACCCTGTCAAGAAAATAGAGGCCCTTCCTTGAAAGGCAAAGACAAAAAATGTATATCCCTTAAATAGGATACAAAAAATTATGACCCTCCCCAAAAATATATATACCAGAAATCCTGATGGAAAAAATATTTAATTAACATTTTATTTTTACATGTACTACTCTCTTATGAATAATATTCAAAAGTTTTTCTTTTCCATGTTGTAGCTGTTCCGCCGGATCTAGTTGTCAAGTTGTTTTGTTAAGTCAAAAAATTGTGGCCCTCCCTACACCCATCATTAAAAAAAAAGAAACCCTCCCCAAACACACATTCCAAAAAATATGGCCCTCCCCACAGATTTAGTGGCTCTCATACATGTGAAAACGCTTTTATGTTTTCACGTGAACACGAAACTAGTCAGTGGCTAGTCAGTCCAGAACAATAGCTATTCAAATTGGTCGCCATATTTCCATTCGGTGTATGAAACCATAGTCTTTCCGCATTTCAATCCCATGATGCACAATTGTGACGTCATTCATGGAAAACGCTATCGGAAGCAAGGTGCAAGACTTTACTGTCAGTTTTGCTTATCAAGATTCTTTAAGGCATATGAACTGGAGGTGGTTCACTGGACGTATCTGTTGTCTTCCCTGATGGTTGCTGGTCACCTGAAGTAGTAACATCTCCTTGGACATATTGTGTAAGTGTCACAGCTGTTGCACCCTGTGGACGATTCTGCATCACATACCCTTGTCCACCCACGGCCTGGTTTGGTACTGGATAGATAGGTCCTCCAGTCATTGCTGGGACAGCCACAGGCATCCCATTAGGTCCCTGGGTCATGACATAAGCAGCAACAGGACCTCCTTGGGTTTGAAGGTAGACAACCTGTCCTTGATGCCGTGAAATAGAAACAGAAAATGTTCGTATAAATCGGTAGTGGTAAGTCTCAAACGACAATTCGAGAGGATTTCGAAAACAATCCAATACATTCTGTACTGGCTTTAGTTATTCTCTCCAGCACAGACCTTGGACTGTCTGTGACTAACCGCATACAGGCCATGAGGGCGAGAGGACTAACTGTTTTAGTCAAATCCAACTAGTCGGTCAAGTAAATAGATGCAAACAAGTTTTGAATTACAGTTAAATTTAATGTGTTTCTGTAAGCATTTTTTCTCTGGTTCTTATATTCTTATATTCTTCCTTTTTTTTATTACTATTATCATTATTTATTAAATAGGTTTGTCACGTGTTTTGATGGTTTTCTGGCTAGCAAATAATGAATGCGTCAACAAAAGGAAAACGTCATCGTAATTTCGCATAGGAACTTCTGTATTTTTCATACATGTATATATGGTAAGCATCCTAGATATATCAATGATGTTAGGTGATTAATATCAGAAAGGAGGCAAACGGGTCTGTTTTCCATCGTAGCCTTGTTTCAAATGATGCAAGCTAAACAATAAGTGCATTTCAAATCGACCACGTGATGCCAATGTTGTATCACGTGGACAAAATTTTTTACACCACGTGATCGAAGTGTAGTCAAGTTTTGATCACGCGGTGCACTCGCGGTTAACATAACGGACGCTACGAAGCGATTAAAAAATCAACCCACTAATGGGAAGAGTAGTCATCAACATATAGCAGACTCGTACTCGAACTGACTTGAACTCCATCAGAGTCACTGGAAGCCTCTTGCCCAGGCTTTTCTTCATGTCTTAGTCTCTTTATCTCCTTGTTTAGTCGGTTGGGATTCCTGTGGCACGAGTTTCTTAAGAATGAACCAGGAACCTTTTTTTCTTGACTTCGTAAATTACACAGAACGTGCGTTTTGTTTAAGATGCCGTGCTTATAAAATTTTAAGACTTCTTGAAAAGTTATTCCTCCCGCTCACTGTCATTGGGCAATGGCTGTACCTGCAAGAACCATGGTATAATAGAGTGTCGGTATAATATATATCTAAGATGGTTTTATATGATTGGATGAACCGTTAAGCACGTGGTCCAAGAAATCAACTCTTTTTTTAAGCGCTAAAATTTGAAATAAGAAAACGTATGAATCCAAAGTTGAGTAAAATCTTTCAGAATCTTTGAGGTTTTTATGTTTTCACGATCTATTATGAATTAGCCGCATGCTTCGACTTGGATCAGCGAAAATGTGTTTTTTTCAGCGTATGTATCAATAAAATTTGAAGGTTGAAGTACAGTCAACTCCTGCCTTGCGGACACTCTGATATTACGGACACCTCACTATTACGGACAGGAGGAAAAATCCCCGGCAAAAATACTGACAAAGAAATTACTGTAATTAGTTCTCGTTATTGGGGACGCTTGCTTTTACGGACACCAAGTGACGGTCCCGAGAGTGTACGCTGTAAAGACAGTTGAATGTATTAAGGACAGCAAATGACGGTACCGAGGGTGTACGCTGTAAAGAGAATTGAATGTATTACGGACACCAAGTGACGGTCCCGAGAGTGTCCGCTGTAAAGAGAGTTGACTGTAAAAGTAATGCAAGGCTCGAGGTCTTGTACTTTGGATCACTCTCATCTTGCTATACGGTTTTATTGCCATTTTCTCCTTGAAATTAAAAACGACACAATAATTATTCCTTACCCTTTCTTGTTGTTCGTTGACATCTTCAGAAGCTGTATAAGGAGGTGGAGGCCCAAGTACAAAACTATCATTCCATAAGCCCTGAAAATCAGTCAGTATTCTGTTAAAGGTCGAAGGAACAGGTCACCAGCTTTGTTTTTGGCCATTAACCCAACCGGTCCTAGTGATGAACCTTGGGGGAACCCCATTTTGATGATTGGATTTTCCTTGCCCAGTACCCACCCAACCGGTCCTAGTGATGAACCTTGGAGAAGCCCCATTTTGATTGGATCTTCCTTGCCCAGTACCCACCCAACCGGTCCTAGTGATGAACCTTGGAGAAGCCCCATTTTGATTGGATCTTCCTTGCCCAGTACCCACCCAACCGGTCCTAGTGATGAACCTTGGGGAAACCCCATTTTGATGATTGGATTTTCCATTCCTAGTGACCCAACTGCCAGGCCTAGTGGTGAATTTTGGAGAATTTTGGAATGATTGGATTTCATGTGTCTCCCATTCACCTAATAAGTCCCGGTCCAAGTCTCATACAGACTTAAATAGCACTAAGTTCTTTGCTGTGACCGTGTGGGTGTTTGTTATATTACTTCGATGTTTATTTCGATGCGCTGTAAATTCCAACCCCTCCCCACCCCCTTGGGTGCAACTTGTCTTCTTACCTGGTCTGCGAAGAGATTATTGTCGAGTACATTGAGTGGATTACGCAAAACTACGGTCCTTTCTGCTGCGTCGATAATCTCAATGATATATGCAGTGGCTTGGCCAAATTGGTTCTGGATAAAAACTGTCTGACCTTGGCTCTAAGAGAAAAGTATACCCTATAAAAAGGCCGACAAATGCGCTCACCCATAGGTATCGATAGATTCTCTTGCAGCAATTTCCAAAGTAGCTCCATCAATTTGAAGGGGTGGGGTAATAAGTTTAGATTCTAAAGGGGGGGGGGGGGGATCTAGCAATGTTTTGTCCTCCAACTTGAGCTGGAATGCACGCTGGCAGATGTGCTGAAGACTGAGCTTAAGTTACGAAAAATTAATCAGTCCGTCGGTCCGTCAGTCAGCAAGGAACGCAACAAGTTAGAAATAGAAGAAATGCCTTCCTTAGAGATGAAAGCAAAGTATTTCAAACAGATATAGACAAGATAGATGCATGAGTAACAATAGATTCTTAAACATGAACTGGCTTATTCAGTATTAGGCTTGCAATTTTTTTCCACACGCCAAATAGAATCACTCATTTGCATCACATACCAAATATTGCTAGTGAAACAAAGAAATACCACTCAAAGTAAGACAAATGGTCCAAATTATCCATCAGCTTTCAAATCATCCATCAGCTTCCTCAATCTAGCATTGATTAGATGAACCATATAGTTATGTAGAAGTACTTTTATTAATTAATACTAATAAATAATGGACCTCTTCACCTCGGGCATGTTTTTTTCCATTTCAGGCCATATGTCATTCTCTTGAGAATACTGTACGTAAGATTCACATGGTTCGCACAGAAATTTTAAAAAAAAAGTCCAGGATTTTTCAAGGACGTTTCAAGGACTTAATGGTCATTTTCAAGGACTATTTTCATTTCGATAATATGAAAAATTAAATATATTCTCAAAGTATGAAATTGAATGCATTTTTTTAATCAATATAAACAAATTACCCACAATACCCCAAAAACAACTGGAAATTACTGTTTTATGTATCATTTTAATTATTTTTGTAATTTTAACCAAGGTTTTCCTCTTTCTAAAGATGAAAAAATATATTTTAGATAGTACCCAAGAAATTCCAGGATAAAAATGAATTATTCAAGGAGTCAGAAGAAAAGTTCCAGGACTTTTCAAGGACAAAAATCAAAATTTTAGAATTCAAGGAGTTTTCAAGTACTGAATGCATTCATTTGAGTTGTATTCTTTATTCATGTATCTTCTCATGTGCAGCCATTAAGAACTGACACTCTAGGGAATGACATGATTTGAAATGGGAAAACACTACACCCACAGAAATGAGGCCTGTTGCTAGTGATAGAAGATTTTTTTGACAATCAGGAATTAAATATCAAAATGATGCAAGTGTCATAGAAATTGAATATCCTATCTAGGAAAGAAAAGTAAAATTAAGTAAAAACTATTAAAAGGAAAAGACCTATTTCATAACTGCAAATTAATTAACAAATTGTTTGCTGAAGGCGAAGTGAATATGGGGGAATATTTACCAAGATGTGAGTCTTTGAGCGATGAGGTAAAGCTTTTCTGATATTCACTGAGTCTGAGGCAAATAATTGTTTTAGTATAAATACTCAGGTGATTCTTTCAAAAATATATATAATAAAGAAGATAAAAGATCTTTTTTTCCTTTAACAGCAACAAAGCCGCTGGCAGCCATTTTGGATTATCGCTGGAGGAGATTATCGTGTGATAGTGTGAGTTTCTTGACCAATCAGCACGTGAGATTTTCAATAATCACCTGTGTATTTTTACTCATATGATATGATAAAGTGATATTAATCACAGTGGAGGTATTTATCTTTGATCTGGAAAAAAATCATGTGTCTTATTTTTAAGGGGTAAACTTTTAATGTGAGAATTTTATTCAACTTTTTTTGCTTTTCGTTTGGATGCATTCTTTTTCTCCTGGGCTGTTATCTTGGCTTCTTCACCTGGTTTGAGTGGAGAAACAAGATTAATAAAGTTTACTAACATTTATTAACAATGGAAATCCCTTGGAAATGGATGGCAAGGCAGTTCAGTCAAGTTAATTCAGGAAAGGTCTACACATGATCAAGAAAGCTACCAACCCTTGAACCCAGAGCACTGTCATTCTTACTGCAAATTCTGAACAAAATGACACTGAAAAAATGCAAGAAATGCAGAATGCAAGTGTTGTGGTTGAATCAAGCATTTCACCTGATGATTGGTCAAAAAAATGCAGGGCTAATCAAATAAGCCAAATACAAAATAACAAGCAAAACCATATTTTGGACTACCAAGCACTAGAAATTCACAGACTACTCTGGCATTTCATTGAGTAAGAATGACAGAGACCCAAGACTCTGGGATCAAAAGTGGAAGGTTGCATGTAAATACTTTCCATAACGATTTAATAATAATAATAATAATTTAATACTTATATTGCGCGTGTTACATAGGAAGATGCTCACACGTGCAGCACATGCGCATTACAAATTGAAATAGAAATATAACAATATAAATTATGATCTAAACATACCATGTAGTCCTGTTGCATCAGCGCCAAAGCAGCGCAACCAGGAGGGCAAGCAATGAACTATCATATAGTATAGCTAGGTATTTTCTTACCTTCCCAAATGACTCTGTTCATTCCCTTGCCCATAAAGTAAAAGAACACTAAAACAAGTGCACACAGCCCAAAGAAAGCAGTTCTGGCAGAGTTTTCCATTAAACGAAGGAATGGATAAACCCAGAAGTCTTGTGTATAGGCAATGTATGAGATCCTGGGAATGAAAACAATTTTTTTTAAACTAAAAAAGCAAAGGTATTGGTGAAATAAAAGGAGAGACTTTACAGTTTTCATCTTGATTCTGAAGAAGACTGCCACAACTGCAGTCGAATTGTCATGTTTTATAAACAATTTAAACATGTGAAAACCATAAAGTATTTTCATTTGAAAGCCTCAAATATAACAAAGGTAATTTAGGCCAAACAAAAAAATAAGTGGGTCGGATTTTTTTTACTGATACAACAGTGGAAATGAGCTTACTGGGAACCCTGTGATGCATTTGGGAATGAAAATAATATTAGGGTCGTCAAAAATCTGCAAGAAAATTAGAGTCGGTTGTGAAACAGGAAACACTTATTTTTTTGTTTGGCCTATCACTGGTTTGCCCCAGCAAAATTCATCACATGATAACTGTAAAGTTACTGGCAACAAAATAACTGACATATTCCTAGATTCTGGCTGTGTAAAGATTATGTTTTCTAGCGTATATCTACTAACCAGGATCTTGACATATCTCGAAAAAATTTTAACCAGAAATTCAGCAGTGTTTGTCTGAGCCTCTAAAGAGACTTACCATGAAAGATAGATTACTTGGAAGAGAAGGGCAAAGAATAGTCCTACTACATTTCTTGGGTATCGATGGCGAACTATAGCTCCTTCTAGTATCACAGAAACAGCTACCCAGGTATGCTGTACAATAATAATTATAATAATGATTATTATTATTATATTAATGATAATAATA